CAAACGTAATTTGGATGAACGTTTATGTGATTTATGCTTCTGTGAGGATATCTCCTCCGCTCTGGTCCCGAAAGTAAGCTATTTCACTAGCGGACCAAGGGCGTACATGGAATGATATTCGCATTTTTTCTCTCGGAGTGTACACAGAATTTTTCTTTTGCTCCAAATATTTGATTCTTATATGACACCGACAGAGAGCGACTGCGCCAGGCTTTGTACTTCGTGCTCCTCTCCACGCCGTGGTGGGCTTCATTGCTGCGTCAGAAAGCTGGACAACCTTCTCTTCAGCCATCCGACCCAGATTGGATAGCGCTAGTTTCTCTTTCAGGGGAAAAAGTTGTTTATTGAATCTCGTCCAGGTCGCTTTGTCTTTTGTGTTTGTCTTCCAGAGCTTTGGAGTGTCCTAATGAAAACGTTACATTCGCATTGGTCCTTTCGATTCAGAAGGGGAGACTTAGTTCCGTTTTCGGCAGCTGCTGGCACAGACAAACGGGTCAGGAGATGGCAGCTGCTGGCACAGACAAACGGTTCAGGAGAGCTAGATAATTGGCTTATCTGGTCGTCCTGCAAACCCGTGCATTTAAAATGTCAACAGGCCTGGCAGGCGTGACTCTACATTCCACGTCTTACGTTCGATGGTCATTCGTTTCGCCAACATCTGCTGTGGTTCACCACCTGTAATGATCTGGCTCATGATTGAAAGTGAGTGCACCGCAGAAATGGAGTGCAGTCTGACAGATTTTCACGCACAGCTTATGCTCGACTGAAAATTCCGCAAAATGACACGTGGTAACCCTGCAAATAGATTAAACGGCGAAAGAATTCTCTCACAAATTTGCACGAGCTAAAAAGGACATGCCTCTGTGAAGGAGCTGGTATCTGGATCCGGTATCATTTCTAAGGAATAACGTCGATGTTATTTCTGGCGCTATACATCTCGAAAGTGTTTTGCGATGGTGTTCGAAGAGCCCCAGTGCTGGAAAAAGAACATTACTGGCCTTAACCCAGTTATTTATACATTGACCAGAAAAAGATGAAAAGACGTGGGGCGACGTACCCTGGGTTTCAACTGCGGACCCACAGTACACAACGCACAAACATATACCACTCCACCAGTCATCCACGAAGTGTAGTTGGTGGGAACCTTAGTCGAGCAGTTAGGCCTATCATATCACATCATACCAATCATACGTTCGGGTTTGGTTTGTGCATAAACCGACTCTCATACCAAAGAAGGACGACTTGGGATTTCTGCAGATTTCTGCAAACTAGCTGTGGATTGGGATGGACCACGCGGCAATCATCCCAGATTTTTTAAGTACGGTCGTTAGGTTAGCTATGACAGACTCGTCACCTTTGAAGAATGGGTTCTGACCATCTGGACCAGGCGCTTTGTTGCGTTGAAACAATGAAACTGCACGTTTGGCTTCCATGGTTGATGGTAGGCTGGTGTCGACGTTTTACTCAGGCTCGTTTGGTCATTTCAGAGGATGAATTGATGAAGTGAGGCTGAACACTTCTTCAAGGTATTTCACCCATCGTTCGAGGTGAGTTAATCGAGATCCTGTCTTTCTCAGAGACTGCTTCACTA